TGAATACGATTTAGCCATATAGCATATGGAGGCATAGAGCATACATTAGCTTGCTTACCTTCAACAACTAGCATATCGCATAGAAAATATCAGCAGGAGTCGAGGCAATTATGTGGTGAGGCTATTTAATCTTCGTTAAATGGAATATAGGACTTCTTGTATTTTTATACGGTTTATAGTGATTTAGTTTGGCTGGGCCTCTACTGGCTGCCAAGCCGTTGGCCACATGGCGTATGTGTGATATTTGGTAATGGCCTGTAATTAAGCATCACGTTCCTCCGCCCGGCTGCCTGGCAAATGTTCTTGTTGTTGGCAACGCCTGCGAGCGGCTTCCGTTTGTTGTTTGGCTGCGAAACATGAAACTCTAATTACCAGGAAAAGAGGCTACCCGAAAAAGAAACACGGAACAGGAACAACAACAACAACAGCAAAAAAGAAGAAGAAAAGATGAATAAAAATAAAAATAAATAAAAAACATATGTGTGTTTATATGTGAGTGTGTGTGTGTGTAGGTAACACACACAGACAAACACACGCACTCACACCTGTTCGGGATTCCTGAGGCCAAGCACGTGGGTCGTCATTATGCAAACGGAACGACGCAAAATGTGAAGAGGAGTCGGGGCGAGCGGGGTGGCAGCTAAGTAGGAACAGTTGTATTTGATCCGGGTGGCCGCCAGACACTTGTCGTGGATGTGGGTCTGTTCAATTATATGGCTCAGCTTGTCATTATAATTTCCCTAATGTTCGGTCAGCAAATGTCCTTGGGCAGGTGTGGGTAGCTGAATAAAAAGTATGGATAGATCGTTGCGGTTGTTCTGGGGTGGCTGCTGATATTATTTTGCCATAAGCACCCACTCGTAAATGTTTAATGTGCAGTTAGTTTGCCCCACTAATGCTTAATGACGGCCAAATTGTCGGCGATGCGTGTGCGTGAAAGGGTTGAGAGGCCTGCCATAAAAAATGCAATAGGTAAATTAGAAACGCCTAATGATTGCCTGCTGGGCGAATGGTTCTTCTGTGCGTTTCTTTGTGGGCGTGGCTGTACAATTATGTGTGCCATTTGTTAGCTGCTTATAGAAATATGTGCCATTTGGCCACACTCAAACGAAATTGTTCATGAGTGCAGAAGCATGCGAGGGCTTTGGCTTGAATTTGTTAAGGCGAAGTCTTCTTACCACGAATCGGCTTTAGCCACAAGCGTATTAGAGCAGCTATGCTGCAGCTAGTTAACTAGACTTAGCCCTGCAGCTACGACACATGTTCGGCTTCCATTTAAGGCTTAAACAATTAGCACTCGCTTCACCATTAATATTAACTTCAGCTGTAAAATTGTTCTGACATTTTGCATTTGCATTCTGCTTTACTTGTCGTGTAAATACATTTCCACCGAACGTACGGACGCTGTAATTCGCTTTACACAGAATTATACATTAAGTTCATTTATAAATATAAATACATTTCACCTCTGTCAACTTCCTGGAAATTAGCGACCACTGACGACCAGAACACCATGTGAATTGCAAGTCTTTTGTTAGCCATTTTCACAGAAAACATAGCAAAATATGATAAAGCGGAAAAATAAAATCTGTTTCATTTACTGCTTAGTTCCTAGTGGCTTTCTGGACGTGGGCGTCATTAATGTTGTGCTCCTGTAATCCATTCGCCTGCCTTTGTTCTATATCTCTCTGTGCATGCGTGGGTGTTAATGTGTGTGTGTGTGAGTGGTTTATGCTCTGCTGATTTATTTGCACATTTCACAACTGCATTTAGCTTATATTTCTAACTAAACCTAAAGCTTCTTTTAGTTTACGTATTTCAATTGAATCATTTTCCTCATTATAGTTAAGTTGTACCTTTCGGATACTTCATCTGGTTGGCAAGTACACAACAGAGTGAAGTAGACTCAGCTAAATGGTTAGTTCCACTTATTAGTTCAGGCATTCCTGCACTTACAGGGTATCTGGCAGTGATGCCAACTGAAGTTGCCATTTCCATTTGATTGCGCCGGAACTCCTGGGCACGGCATGTACAGAGAGCTGTAAAAAATCTGCTGCACGCTTTTAGGCAGGGGCGTATGCTAAATAGTTGTTTGTTTGCTTTTGTTGTTGCTGGTTGTTGCTGGTTGTTAGTGCTGTTATCTGTCAGCGGGTGGAGGCACTGCGCAGTGCCAAGAGTCAGCAGCCAATGCGAGAGGAATTCTGCGTTGCATTTGCGTAGGACACAAGGCAAATAAAAAAAAAATGTTTATAAAACAATAGCAAAAAACGGGGAAAAATATTTGCGTGTGGCAAATGCAAGAGCGAGAGAGAGAGAGAGAGATAGTGAGAGTGGGGGCTAGAGACAGGGAGAGACGGAACAGCAAATGAAAAGCTCTGCGTGGGCCACTTCTGATTCATTCAGACAAACTGTAAACACACTCGAGACTTCAAAGCGAAATCGAATTAGCTGCAAAATTCTTGGGGCACAGGAATTTTTTGTGCTTTTTTTTTGGTTTTTTATTTCAGTCTTGAAAAAACTTGTTGTGAGTCTCGATATGTAAAAAGCGTTTTTGCTACTGACACTTTACACGTCCAGTCTGTAGCTCAAATAAAATTCATATTGTGCATCTGTTGAGGACATGAACGAGGAACACTAAAAATTTGATGCATTCCTTTGTGGCTACTGCTGTGGCCCCAACACAATATCCGTACGGATTGATTGAGCTCTGCGATTTATTCGGTCGTCTGTTCACCTGCAGCTACCGGCCACGGCTAGTTGTCATGGCAACTGCGTGATGCAGACACAGCGAGAGCTCAAAATCATTGTAGAGCTTAAATAACTCTGGCGTTTGTGGCCGATACTCAGCTGGCAAAATTTAAGCAAAATTTCAATTTGATTGCATCGATGTATATGCCTTAGTTGAACGGCTCGGCTAATAGCTAAGCTTAATACACTTCTTTACTTGGTTGTGGATTAGACTCGACTGCCCCTGCCAGTGGCTACAGAGACAAATGTACCTGCGCTTGCCTCACTCTCTCCTCGGGGCCTGTGCCGTCACGTTACATTGATACAGCCGACTCTATATTTATGTATATAAATTTCTATATGCTGGCACGTATTTTTATCTTGACTTTGCCCAAATGGGCGTGGCTTTGGCGGCGGCTTGAGTCGCTTAGCTTTGTGGCTTGCATGCAAATTTTATGTTTTAATAACAAGTCTCTGGCATGCAAGCGGCGCATATTTTATGCCAATTGCCGTGCCACGCTCCGGGCCAAAAAAAAAAAAAGGGAGAAGAAGCAGAAGTGGAAGGAAGGCTGAAAAAAAGAAGAAAGGAAAAAATAAAGGCACAGCAGCAGCAGTACGCCCACTACCACGCCCACAGACAGCTACCACTTTGGCCTAAGGGATTTCGTTTTGTCTTCGCTTTTGGGTTTTACCTGCGTGCCTGTGTGTGTGTGTGAGTATGTGTGTGCCCCAAAGCTGCTTATTTTTTAACCAAGCTCTCTGCCCTGTAAATCAGTCACGCCCATATTTGCTTAACCGTAAACACACCTGCCAACCGCTGCCCTCTCGCCCAGCTCTCGCACTGGGTTAGAAAATATTTTTCTTGGCTTTTTGCTAATTGAGTTTTATTTGCTTCGCATTGTTGCAAAATTTCCAAGTAATATTTAAAATTTTATTAAATATTACTTGTATTACTATATATATATGCGTGTATATGCATGTTTGATCTCTATATATACACCTTTAGACCATGCAAATTGTGCGCTGCGTGTCGCATGCGAGTCAAATGTAAATGCAAATGCAAATGCGAATGCGAATGCGAATGCTAATGCAAATGCAAATGCTGCATAAAATATGATTGCCACAATTATTCGTGTCCAGCGAGCGACAATGTTGCAAGTGCCACATTCGTCGTCAGGCATTGTGATTGCCGTGCGGCGTGCCGCTCGTTGTCGCACAATGGACTGTGTCAACTGTTGAGCTGCTCGGCTGCTCGTGCTTGACAATTGCTAGAGTTAAGTCCGCTTTCCTTTTAATAATGCACACTTACTTATTCAAAAGTATTAAGAGCAGGCAGCTGAAGCAGGAGAGAGAATGAGTGAGGAAGACTACAATGACTTTAACACTAGTAGTTTGAGGTGTTTGTCAACACTGCTTCTTATAGCCGAGTCGATCTGAGTTTATAAAGGGTGTTTTTTTTTGAAGCTACTTAAGTTTCAATCATAATAAAATAATGAAATTGATTTTTATTACCAAGAAAACAAGGTTTATGGGATCGAATATTTCGTGGCACTAATGTTTAAATTGCACTTGGGTCATGTGGCTGCCACGGTTGGTGCATGTTGTCACAAATATAAACTCAAATAAACGCAAATGATAAGTTTGATGAATAGAACGTTTATATTGATAACAATTTTTAATAATTTGCTAGCGCTACTTTATTGCAAGGCCATTATTTCATTATAAATGTCGAGCTAAATTCAACAAAAAGCAACTATCAGCTGATAACTGTGTTGTCAAATAAGGCAGTGTTGCCAATATAAAGTTGTGTGCCTCTAAAACAAACAGCCTATGGTCCAGCAGCAGACTGCCTTTGATTAATCTAGTTAGTTAAAAATAATGAGCTTATCAAGCTTGATATAGACTTTAGCCTTTAGGCCAGCTGTCCATCGTCCTTGATCAATCATTTTTTGTATATTTCAATGTTTCATTCAAGCTAAGTTCAAATTAAATTCTTATCTTTATGAATGATATAATGATGTTTTTTTATTTCATAACTTTTACAGCTGTTTTACTATGTTTCTGCTCACTGTGCAGCGCTTTGAGATTTGTGCTTTCATTTCCGACTTGGCTCTTATCAATTGTTCTCGTTTTATTTCGCACTGGATTTTGAATATTTTTGCTGACGTGTGGCACGCACACGCAGGTGGCACAACCTTCCACAGACCAACCAAGCAGCCAACTTACATTGCACTTGATTTTTTCTTTATATTTTTTTTATTTTATTTTGCGCTGTTTTTATTTAGCTGCAGCTTAGGAACTAGTGAAAAAAAAAAAAAACAAAAAAAAGTTATTCAACTTCTTGAACGGTCAACAGTTCTTGAGAATGGTGGTGTTGACCTCGTAGTGGCAAATTGCCTCTTTACTGCTGTTTTTGGGATTCAGGGAGTAGACGGTGCCGATCACCGAATAGATCGCATTCGGCTGATACATGAACTTCAGTATCGAAGTGTCGGGCGGCACCTGGATGATGTTCATCATGTAGGTGCCGCGCTTGAGGGGGCAGTCAAGACTCATGTTGCTGCCGCCGCCCGATAATATCAACTTGGCGGCATTGTTCCAGGCGGTAACGCGTCGTATATATTTCCAAAACTCGCACGTCTTGATCGAAGAATTATAGATAGTACGTGCCATATCAGATCGTATTCCGTTGCGCCGCTTGTTCGGATTTTGGAGGATAACCAGATGCCATATCGGTATGGCCACTTCCTTGTGCACAATTGTGACCGATGACAATGAATTGTTGCGAATATGCAATTTCATAAACAGCCTATAGTTGGGCGTGTCCCAGCTGCTAAAGTTTAGCGGCTTCATGAAGTAACAGTACTGACCGTGGAAGAGAGATGGAAAAGGAAGCAAAGTATCAATTGCAAACTGAACTGAATTCGAACATAGAAACAAATTAAAGTGAAATCTTGAGATATTCTAATAACAGTATTAAGGAATTTTTTATATATATGTATAAAGCTTTCAGTTTTTTATACTCTGATCACATTATGCCAATCGTGTCCTGACTGAAGGCAGGTTCCGTTGGTTGACCAACTTAGATTTTTCGCTGCACTTTCGTTTGCTCAATCCGTAAGACTCACCTGGTGGGCCAGCTGGACGATGGCGAGCAGTAGCAGGGATCGCAGCACACGTCTATTGCAGTTCATAGTGTACCACAAAATGTTCGAATTTGCAATCGGATCAGTTGCCGCTGAGTCTAATGTGTATTTAAGTGATTTTTGATGCCGTTAATTATATGAAATTCAATGTTCTCGCAACGCTTTAATGTCTCACTCGTCATGACAACAGCAACTAAAAAAATAAATAAAATCATTCTATACAAATCGACCATGTAAAATAGCAGCTTTGTAAAATGTAATTATAACATTTGACCTCTCATAGAATGCCCCAAAAACATACATGACGACAGATCTCGCTGGCAGATTTAGCATGGGCTTTATTTACTTGGGTCCTCAGTCAACAACAACCACAACAGCAACAACAATCATAATAATCAGATTCAAGCTGTTAACAACATTTTAGGCCTTTCGGAAGTGGGCACGAGGCAATGGAAATTTGTTTGCTTATCAACATCATCATCATTAGAGCGGCTTTACAGTTGTGCAACAGTAATTGTTAAACTTTTATTGTTGATTTAGCTAATTAGCTTTCGGATAGCTGGCTGGCTGACTGGCTAGCTGGCGCATCTCAAACATGTATCCGTAGCAGTTACAGATTTTTCACACACACACATACACATACATATATCCGTTATGTTTTATCCGGTTTCCGGTTTTCCATTTGTACTGCTGCCTTCCAACTTGGCTCGAGCATGCAAAGTGTCGGCTGCTGTGACACCGCAACAAAAGCAAGCAACAACAGCCGCAACAACCATAACAACAATGACCGCTTCCAGCTATCCAATGTCCTTTGTTGACTGACGCACACACACACACACACACATACATTTCTATTCGTACATACGCACATTCCGCTTCGCTTCAATTCTCATATTTACTTACGGGTTATTTTCCAGCAAATATTTGCATTGCTTACCCACAGCGTCTATAACATTGGCTTTTCACAATTTACATTTTGCCCATTTCCACGCTCTTTACCATTTTCTACTTTCCCACTTTTGCTAGCCTACTTTGCGGCTGTCTCCAGAGCTTGTTGTTAGCTTTTCGCGTTTATCAGTTGCACAACAACAATTACGTGTGTCTCTTACACACCCCACACGCCCCTGCCAGCCCGTGTTTGATTTATAATACAAAGCAACATCATAAAACTGCTTCACTCAATTTTCAATTTTCACCCACACACACACTCACAGGCGTGTGTAAGCGAGATAGAGCACGCCACACTGTTTTCTATACCCACTTGCTACAATGGCAGCCAATGCAAATGGCCGTCGTGTCGTTTGTCTGTTGGTTGTCTGGTTGTCTGGTTGTTAGGTTCTCTGGTTCTCTGGTTGTCTGGTTTGTTGGCCCAGATGATTGGACTCTGCTCTTATTGTTGCTATAGCTGTTGTTGCCTCCGCTGCTGCTGCTGCTGCTGCTTTGCGTAACTTGGTTTTTGGCTTGGGTTACTTTAGCCATTTGTTTTGTTGCCCTTGCTACAATTTTGTGCCAAAGAGTTGAGCGACTTGCGAGACTTCTGCTGAAAATTGCAAATATCATAAAAGAAAAATTGAATCATATTAATTCTGCTGGCAAAAGCTTTTACTATGTCTGCGCTCTGTTCCCTTCTAGTGCTTCTTCTAGCCGAAGCCCGCACGCAATGCAATCATAGCTTTCAGATGCTTTAAGAGAGATTGTCTCAGAAGCTTTTAAAGTTACCTAACTCTAAGCAGTACGTCTTCAATTGGCTAAAGATAAACTTAGCTGGAGCATATCTGCACTTTTTATGCTAATATCACAATCTGTGAGAATTACTCAAATATTTTCTGTATTCATGCTAAATAAAGTAGAGTTTCTCCAGTGTGAACTTAGCTCAAGTCACATCTAGCTAGGATTATATGTTGTTGCCATCTCTCTCTGCCTAGTTCTTTCTATCTCTCTTCGTTTTGCTTTGGTTTTTCTAGTCTATTACTTGATTTCTGTGGTCTACAGCTTTATCAGAGTCGCGCGCACAGCTGCCACCCCGAGCGCCATTCATTTTGGAGTGTAAAATTTATCTATTTGGGTTGCTTTTATTTCGGATTTTGGCTGTTCGTTGTCTTTGTGTTGCGTTGCCGTCATTTTTGATTTGTTTCAATAAGCTTTTATGGGCTTTTAGTTGGTCGATTGGTGGCTCAAATTGTTGTTATGTGTTTGTTTTGTTGATTTCGCCTTCGCTTCGGCCAACAATTTGTCAACCGAGCAGGCGGCAACGGCAAACGATGTCAATATATTCAGTATTCCATTTGTGTGTATCGAGCCAATGGGGGCCAATGCGCCCAAAAGTATGCCACATAAGTGCCAACCTTAATGCACATTTCGTTCGCCTGAGAGCTGAGGACCGACTCCCCTTCACTGGCTGTTCGCCGCTCGCTGCCTAGCATGGGGGCCTTGAACGTTTTATGATTGCACTTTTCAGCAATAAAATAAAGCATTCGCTTGCACTGGCACACACACTCACACGCACACACACACAGCTGCTTACGTCGTCGCCACCATCAGCAGCAGCCGCAGGCAATGAGACTTGACACCAATCCTGAAACTTTAATAACCTCAGACAGTGCGCTGCCCAGCGCACATGCAATAAAACGTCTGCTGGCTCATAAAAACCAACCTACTAATGCTCCTACCTCATACATATAAGATACAGCCACACAACCCCTGCCAGCTGCATGAATACAAATTCAAGTAAGTCTGCTCTAGACGCGACTGTCTGCTGATATTGCTACTCTTTGCTTGATTTTTATGATTTGAAATTAGTTTTTGTTCACGCATCGATATGAAGTAACCCAAAATATCAAAATAGCTGTCTCTAATAGTCTCACACTCTCCGGGCAACAGAATGTTTATATTAGAGCGTGTTGCATGCCACAATCACTTACCAGTTGTAGGTAGCCAGCAGGAAAGGGTATTAGAGAGCAACAGCATTTGGAGTCTTTGGGGTGGCACTGTCAGCTGTCAGCGCGTCGCCATTGCAGCTCATAAACATGAGGGTCGTCGTCTATATGGAGCAACAGCCATCCGGCCACCCAGCCATCCAGGAGCTAGCCGAGCACATCTACCGCAGCTCTCCCTCGTAACCACTCAGTGTGTCAGCGAGTGCTGGCTTGTTACCCTCAGGGCGGGCTGTCAGTTGTTGTTTGGACCATCGCGTCATATTTATTTCCAGTCATACGAATGCCTTGACATTGCCTGCATAATTGTTCAAGCGTATCGGACGTGTTCTCCCATCCAGTATCGCTGCACAAATCGCAATTTCTTATATTTTATAGATGCATTAAAGTGCGAAATGTCAATTGGATGCGAGAGCTCACATAGATTGCATCGTTAAGTCTAGTTTGTCGCTATCATACTTTGTCAATTGCAAATGTTACGAGCTTTAAGTGTCGGCGATACTTTGTCAGCTCTGTAATGACGCAGTATTTTTCAATGTAATTTTTGAAATTGATTTTCGGAACACTTTGCAATTGCCTGGCTAAGTGCGAGCTTCAGGCAGCATTGGCTCAAGCCAAGCGTTTAATTGCATATGTGCAGGGCCAATGATTGCCCAGTCTAGTTGGTCCTGCTATTATCCCATCATTGGCCTGGCCGTATGCTACATACATATACGCTCACACACACACATATATCTATATACATGTATTTAAATATGTATATGTCTGAATATCACGCATTCGCCACGTACGCCACTTCATTACATCAGCCTGTTATTGTTATGGCTGCTGCTGCTGCTGCTGCTGTTGTAGTTGCTGTTGCTGTTGCTGGCGCTGTTTTTCTTGTTGCTGCTGTTGTTAAATTCCCGCGTTGCCGTCAAGACAAAACATGGCCCATCAATCTCTGACAGTGCCTATGCAAAATTCGCCTTGCGTGCGCGTGTCCGTGTGTGTCTGGCTGTGCCGCCTTCAGTTTCCCCTGGGGGCAGCGCATAGGGCACTCGTAAATTTCATTTAATCACTCGAACCTTCGACTTTGATGTAGTACGTAAAAATATTAAAGTCCAAACTGTCGGACTGTCGGCCATTTAATGGCCTGGCCCTTTGCCACGAGGCTGGCTAGCCTGCATAGCCAGGACCCGAGTGAGCCGCACAATTTATTGGTCCTGCTCATGAGCCAGGTGAAAAATTGGGTCAGCACTGTGGCAGCATTGCTACAGTTGAGCCTCGTCCACTCCACATTGCTGCCGCCCACAAGGTCAAATCCGACTCCCAGCTCTCAGAGGCTGCCTGCGTCGCCTGGCCTGTCCTGGCTGGCCTGCTGCCAGTTGCCAGTTGCCTGTTGCGAGTGCAAATTTATGTTGAGATTAATTGCAACAGCCATTGCAAAATGTGGCAGCAGGCAACAACTTTAATTAGTAACAAACGTCAACAGGTCTGTGGCAAAAAAAAATTGAGTGGTTGGAGGTGGGAGGGGATAAAACATGCCACCGCCTTCACGACCTGAACGAACCTCACGGCTGGTAAATGAAGCATTCAGGTTGAATTTTCCATCGCACAGCATTCGCAATTTGCAATTCGTTTCCATAAATTGCCCATTGAAATGAAAATCGCTGCAGTTGCATTGATCAATATGTTATGAGTGCGTGGGAGCCTTGAAAGTAGATTAATTTCGCACGCTTCATGTACAGCAAATGCAATAAGCATCATCCGAGCTCAAGCGATACACCAGCTTTAACATATGCCAAGTGCTCCACACTTAGCATTGCCATTACCTTCAATCAACCCGAGGCGCGGCAAAATCTATAAACTTGAAAAAGAAACCAAAGCAAAACCCGGCAAACCGGCAGCTACAATAAATTTCTGCTGCACTCAAATCGAGACGCAGCAAATTGGAAAATCTGAGCGCATTTATTATGAAGCCCAGCTCCAGGAATCAAGTCAAGCTCTTTTGCTTTATAGCTTCAATTTCTACACTTCTTAGTGAACCCAACTGCGCTCAACTGAATTGATAGGCAGCTGGCATCGGAGCAGAGCCCACTAGAATGA